ATATTTAAAATATTGTTCTTGTGTGGATCACAGTGCAAATTTAGGCTGTGTGGGAGCATTTTTTTGGGGTGTTTTTTACATTTGAAGAATCGGTAACCATTTACTTCAATTGGATTGGATTTGGCTGCAACATTGTTTACACTTGAAACTCCAAAAGTGTTTTGTGGACTCAAACACCCCCCACACACCCCATCAGCATAGTGGTGAGGAGATGAGTGAATATTCATTTCTGGAACTATCCCTAGTATTAGAAGATAGTATGCCTCCATTATTCCCTTATCAGATTAAGCTGGCTATTTGCTGGCAACGATTTATAGAATTTCTTATTTTTAGTACTAATACGAATGAATACTAAAGCCTAGTTTATGCTTCCCTGCGCATCGACGCCGTACCTACGCCGTCGACGCGGACCCCTACGCCGTAGCCTGACGTGCACCTCCAAAAAATCCTAACTACGCGTCGCGTTGACGCGGACCGCAAGTGCTGTGATTGGTCTGCTCAGAACGTAAGTTCCGGCAGTTGCTTTTTCCGGTCTTTCTTCCTCGTCGTACAGACCACCTCCGCAAACGTCTTCTGGTCGCCTGCGCTTCAACATTTGCAATATAAGCATTTGTTCYTCAATATTGATGAGCTCCAACTCCAAATACAGCTGCTCCACCTCGGTCGCCATTGTTTACTGTTGTTTACTTTACGGAAGAAAAAGCAAGGACTTGGCTGAAACCAGACAAACACACAGCCACACCCCCCTACATTGCGGTGAATTGCGGAGCAACTCGTTCCCTCGACGCAGAACTTCGAATACTCAATGTCGATGCCGTACCTACGCCATCGACGTGACGCAGAAGCATAAACTAGGCTTAACATTCTACCTTTTGCAGCTGCCATTGTGTAAAGTTACTAGGAGCAGGTTTGTATCATGGCTGATCTAAAACAATGTAAAAATATACAAAGAGGATGTACCCTGTTGACATAATTTCTGTTCAGCCATGGTTCCCAATACTTAAAAAAGTTAAATATGAATCAATGTTTTGTTGTCAGTCTTGGGTGCTGGATGGCCCATCAGCAGAGGTTGAGGCACACGCAAGCAGCTCTGCAGGACAGCATCCAGCAGCAGCAACTTTCTCCTCTGCTCGCAGACACAGCTCCTGCAGGAAGTTGGTGGTCTCCATCACCAGGTCGCTTTCATCATCTAACAGGGTGTAGAGAAACACAATAATTATGTCTATTGAACACAAGAAGGCACACAAGTAGCTTGACACATCATGCTGGCAAAAGCAGTCATGGACAATACGTCAAATGAAACAGGATGACAGGGAAACAAATGTGACACAAACATTAATGCAAATCAAGAGTGAATAAGAACTTAAAGTACCCCTCTAATAACCCCAATACATGCACCATAGAAATACTATGACTATTACCACATAAGGCTTATATTATTACACTTGATATTCTTCTTAATGTTACTAAACCATTTTGCCACAAACTAACTGCTGTTGATAATGAGCCTTAGTGTTTTATTTATTCCAATATTAGATTCAATTGGTTTTAGTCAGTGTGTACACAAGAAACTCATTGTTGTATACTCACTTGACCTTGTGCCATATGGCGCCAAAATTGAACATCTACTGCCACATAATCCTGTTCTATCAAACCATAATTTAATAACCTTTTTCTAGATGTCTATCTGATAGTGCTGTAACAAAATTTAAGGAAATAGTTCCATTTACATCTACATAGTACAATTCCTCAATATAACTGATGATATATATTTTTTATGTTCATTTTATAAAAACCTTAATTCCACTGAGATTGAACATCTTTTGAATTAAACAAAGGTGCTACAACAATCGTGTTGAAATTCACCTAGCCTGGGAAGATATTCACAAAGTATACAAGAAGGTACTCCACAATGTCAGACTTGTCTACTACTCCACATTAATAGAGTAAAAATAAAAACAACCACAGGTTTTGCTTCAACACTGTAGCTAAGCTGACAGAGTCACAGCTCCATTGAAACCCTGAATAGCAATGCCTTTACGTACATCTTTATTGCAAATATTTCAACAATTCAAAATATAATTCACTATCTTCTGCCCTCAATCATCAAAAACAGAAATCTCAGGATCAACTAAGAATCCTGTTATTTATTTAGACAGCTTCTCTCAGCTCAGCCTTGATCAGTTGACTTCAATTATCTCATTGTCTAAAGCCACAACTTGTATATCGGATCCCATTCCAACAAAGTTACCTCAAGAAACAACAACAAAATTCTGCCCCTAATAAATAATACTGACTACAATCAATCTATCATCATCATCAGAATATATACCACAGTCCTTTAAGCTATCCCTAATTAAACCCTTTCTCAAAAAACCCACTCTGGACCCATAAGTTTCAGCCCAACTACAGAACAATATCCAACCTCCTCTTCTTGTCTAAAATCCTTGAAAAAGTTGTGGCCAATCAGCTGTGTATGTTTCTCCAGGAAAGTAATCTTTTTGAAGACTTTCAGTTGGGGTTTAGAGCTCATCACAGCATGGAGACAGCACTGACAAAAGTCACAAATTACCTTCTCGTAGCCTCAGATCAAGGGTGTCTCTGTCTGTCCTGTTAGGTCTTAGGGCAGCATTAGACACTAAAGATCATCACATTTTATTACAGGGATTAGAACAGTTGATTGAGATTAAAGGAACTGCCCTAACTTGGTCTGAATCCTATTTATCAGATTGATTCCAATTTGTGCAAATTAATGAGTCATCTGTGTACACCCAAGTTAATCACCGGGTTGCTCATGGATCTGTACCAAATTTTATTCTTATATAATATTCCATTAGGCCGCACAGGAGAGGCTTCCCCCTCTACTATATGATGGGAAAAGGGTTCCCAATTTTTCGGATTTCATGCTGACTGTGGCCAAGTGGAGGGCAGCCTTCATCAATGTGAAGAAGGAGCTTCATTCGTGTGCTAACATCAAATTTGACTTCAATACACTGCATATCACCATGTCGAGTGGCCAACCCCATTGATTTTAGGATCCGGACCAGGCACTTGAGTTTGTGAACAAGAGACTAAAAAGATATCCTGGATCACCACTGAGCTGAAAGTTCTTCTCAACAAGAAGAAGAAAGCCTTCAGGTCTGGGGACAGAGGAAGAAGAACAGAGGGTCATACAACATGACCTGAGGAGAAAGCTGAGGGAGTGCAAAGACTCCTACAGGAGGAAGCTGGAGGCCAAACTCCAGCAGAACAATATGAGGGATGTGTGGACTGGAATGAGGGAAATAACTGGGTTCAAGGCGAGAAGCAGACAGCTAGGAGGCAGCCTGGAGAGGGCAAATGAGCTTAATTTGTTCTTCAACAGGTTCAGTACACAGCTGTCCTCCCCACCACACTGCCTGACTTCCACACACCCTCACTGCTTCCAAAGACTCTGCCCTCCCCCACTCTACCCCCCCCCTGGTGTGCTCAAATGACATAACCCCCCACCTTCCAAGTGCTGCTCCTCCACTGAAGGGATTAACACCTTCCAGCTCCCCCATCTGTCTGTTACAACTGGCAAGGTGAGGAGACAGCTGGAGAGGCTTCATCTAAGCAAGGCCAGACGGTATTAGCTTGAGAGTATTGAGGTCCTGTGCCAACCAGCTAGCTGCTATTCTCCAGCATCTCATCAATCTGAGCCTTCATCAGGAGAAGATACTGTTGCTGTGGAAAACGTCCTGCCTGGTTCCAGTTCCCAAGAGGACGACACCATCTGGCCTCAATGTATACCGACCGGTTGCCCTCCCATCTTATGTGTTGAAAGTTCTGGAGAGGCTTGTCCTGGCCCACCTCCGACCACAGGTGAAATCATCGCTGGACCCTCTTCAGTTCGCCTACCAGCCTCATCTGGGAGGCTATAATCACCCTGCTGCAGCGAACCCACTCACATCTGGACCAGGCTGGTCGCACAGTGAGAATCACTTTCTTTTATTTTTTCAGTGCGTTCAACACCATCCAGCCAGTTCTTATGAGGGAGAAGCTATGGGGGTGGACCATAGACTGTATATAAAGAGGGGTGGACACATCCACCGTTTCCTTGATTGCTGACTATCTGACAGGCAGACCTCGGTTTGTTCGACTGGGCAGTGTTCTTTCTGATGTGGTAGTGAGTTCTACAGGAGCTCCACAGGGGATTGTACTGTCGCCCTTCCTCTTCAAACTGTACACCTCCCACCTTAAGTACAACTCCGAGTCATGCCACTTACAGAAGTTCACTGATGACTCTGCAGTGGTTGTGCGTATAAGTGATGGGAGGGAGGGTGAGTACAGAGCGCTAGTGGATGGTTTTGTAGAGTGGGCCATTAGAAATCATCTGCGCCTGAATGTGGCCAAGACCAGGGAGATGGTGGTCGACTTCAGGAGGAAGAGGACAGTTTCACAGCCACTGCGTATTCTGGGAGAGGATGTTGTACCTGGGCGTCCACATCGACAATGGACTGAAGTGGAAAACATCGATGCTGTCTAAAAGAAAGGAATGAGCAGACTAGGCCTGGGCCAATGATCAATAAATCAATTAATCGCACGATAAATTAAAATTAACTCAATAATTTTTGTGCGTGCGTGTTTGTTTTGCTCATTTCTCGCCTCCAAGTAGGCTGGATGACAAGAGGGTTCACTCTGTGCTCGGTCTCAGCACCTGGGGGCATTTGTTGCGGAATGAACGTAGTGAACCCTCTTGTCAGTCATCCAGTCTCTTTGTCTCTGTGGGGGAGGCGAGCCTAGCATTGGCTCCACACACAGAGTGCAGCAAGTCAGCCTCGTGCGGAGCAACACAAGGCAAAAAGATGATTGCAAAGCCAAATGCCACAGCCCCGGTGTCAAACCGAATGAGCAAGGTGAGACCATCAACACGGACGAGCCAGTATGCCGAATTTGTTCAAAAGTGGTGGCAACAAAAAAAGGCAACACAACAAACTTGCATGCCCACCTAAAGCATAACCACCTGACCCAGTTTTCCCAGCTGGGAAAAAAATGCACCTCGAGATGCAGAGCCTTCGTCCCGACAGTCAACACTCACTGAGGCGTTTGGTCGACAAAGTAAATATAAACGGAACAGCGCAAAATGGTGTGCGCTCACAGAAAGTGTAGTTCGCTACATCGCAAAAGAAATGCTGCCCTTTAATTACAGTTGAAAAGCCAGCATTTAGAGAAATGCTGCAAACGTTTGACAGACAGTACGAGCTGCCTGCGAGAAAATACATGTCACA